GCTCTATGGGTGCACAGAGAATAACGAGAGATCGATTTATCGATGGTCGAAGTCGTGACGTGAGTATCAAGTAAGCAGCATCAAAGACACGTATACACTTGACTCTCTCAATAATAAGCAAATTGAAAATAGTCCGATATTATCGAGTCTCATTGAAAGCTAATTGTTGAAATAATGTGAGCACATTCGACAAGTAATTCTATAGATTGCATCGCAATCACGTTTCGCTCCAATGCGTCCGTCCTCTCCTCCCTCCTTTCCTCTTTCTCGATCGACTCCAGAGTGATCTCAACCTAGGAAAAAGAAGGTAAGCAATACAAGAGTCTGGCTAAGACCGACCGTGAGTGTATCGCCTAGACTTACAGCATGTAACGCGTGACAGTGCGCGGTTGCAATTGCGAGTAGGCAACCTTGAAACTGACCACCGTCTCCACCTTCTCGTCACCTCCATGCTCGCCTACTGCAACTTGTACCAGGTCTGCTGTATTCAGGTGTTTCTGAGGATCTCCATGGACGCCCAGAGGTTGCAAAAAGGAATATTTATTCACTGAAAAACTTCCAACTTGATTCTTTATAATCACATGAGCAAAGAGAAAGAATTATGTCTGAGAAAGATACGACACGAAAACTTAGTGATCGTCTTTACATAAAATTCAACACTCGTGTCATTTATTATTTATGTTACAATACATTAAAATCTCTTAATGATTTGTTTAACTTCCAATTACATGAAAATAGTCCATTTCTGAGTTATTAACCTGCAATAATTCTACTTTATATTGTCATAAATTACACTTCATATAGCCAACATTGATATGTGGTTAATTAATTAATTGATAATGATTATAAATATGAATTACATTTCTGCGATAATGAAGAAAAAAAAAATAAATCAAAAACTTTTTACTTTTTTATTAAATAAAAAAATTTTTTACATTCAATTATGAAGTTAAACAAATGGACATTTGTTGATTATTATCCTGTGATTTACTCAGTTTTTATGAGCCACCTGTCAAAACGAAAAGTTACGAAACAAACATTTAAACTTTCACCTCTCTCATACCATCATCCTTATCTACATCTAGTAATCCTTTCTTTTTTTATCACCAACACGTATAAAAATACATATCATAGAGCATAATTAGAAAGCATTTTTATTTTATTTAGTTACCACGCTACAAATGAAATATCGTTTTTATAATTTTTTTGTTTGCCCTTTTCACCTGACTTCCGTTTCCTCTAGCTTTACCTCCACCTCTTTGGTTTCCTCTTTCTCATCCTTATACCTCATATATCGTACGTTCCATGCACCTTTCTCACAAATATAAAGGTATATAACGTCTGAACCACGCATCCCCTTTTCATGTCTTTCCCTTTCACTCATACTTGGGATCCAGTTTAACCGAGGCTGGTTGTTTGCGTCGTTGTCTATATACCACTCTCTTTATTTTCCCTTTCGTTATTTGCCTCTGCTTTTATTGCGAATCCGGTTTGCAACGTACTCAGGATGAGGACGAGAGGAGTATCACGCATAAGAGAAACGTCTTGAAGGACTACATGCAATAGAAAAAGAGGGAAACATAAGAAAGAAAATTTAACGATAATAGTGAGGTTTGCAAAGGCGATCACGACTCTTTTCTTCACGAATCTCTTTCTCTCTTCCCTTTTTTTGTACTTCTCTCTTATCCTTATACCTTCTTCCCATGATTATAGGCAACTCTGAAATTTTTCAGTCAATACTTTTCCCTTTTTGCAGCTTCCGAACGTCCATGAAATACATCGGAAGCACCTGAGTAAATCAAGTTGTATTTTTATGATTTAAACTCTTTTTTTTCTTCTTTAGTAACTAAATAAATTTTACTTCTCTTCTATATAAACCCAACATTGTATCAGTCTTTAGATTTGATAAAAAGAAAGAAATCAGTTAATTTCAGTAAGATACACTATCTTGAAAAAAAACTTGAAAATAAGAAATTCCTTTTCTTTTTATATTAATCTTTTAATAAAATTATTATCCTATTTTTCTAACGAATTATTTAAAGTGAAAATTAAAAATTAACATTACCATTGTTTATTTGTACCTGAAAATAAAGAAATAAATTTTTTAATAAAAATAAATAAATGGTTTTTATTGCAAATGTAAAATGTAGTGAATCTTGCTTTCTTTTTTAATGGATGCTGTTTGATTGATACGTGTATCACCAGTAGAGGAGGTATTCCGTGATCGAGCAATTAATCGTAGAGGATTGATATCACTCAGTGATACTCCGGGTGGTCTTACTTTATACTAATATTGTATTACATTACACGTAATAATAAGAATAAAAATAGCTGACATTGTCATCATTTAAGTTTAAATATTAAACGTTAAATGTTCAAACACTCGAAATTAATTATACACTTGAATGAAAACAATCCTTTACAGTAATTAGAGGGAGAGAAAGACTTTCTGAGAAAAGTCATTCTGCGAGAATTTTCATGACGTCAATGACATTTAAGCTTTTCGAAAATTGATCACCCGTCGTCATGTCTCTAATAAAACAGATATCTTGTTAGTATGTATTTCTTTCAATTAGACATTAATCAGCATCAGTCTGAAAGATAATGATCGGCTGATATACTTATAAGTTACATATATTGAAATGTTTCATACTTATTTTTATGAAGAAAAGAATAGTGAAACTTGAAGGTTAAAATCGATTTCTATATCTATTCTGTAATCTACTTATCTTTGACCTTCATTTTTATTTTCACAGATTAGAAGTTATAAGTTCAAAAATTGTATCAAAGCTTTTGAAAATCGTTATCTTCCTCAACTTCATAAATTACTCTCTAATTAATGAATTATATGAAACAGCTTAAATTGCTAATTTAATTATAAACCGTTTACTGTAGATTTTTCTTGACCTCAACCTACTAACTATAAACATTTCATAATGTTTGTAATAAAAAAATTTGTGTATAAATTCATTTATTGTAAATAAATGTCATATTAAGCCATAATAATAGGAAGCTTTGATTTCTAGGAAATTAAATTAATCAAAAGTATTTTTTTATAGGGTAATTATCAAATTGATCGTCATGAAGTTATTTAACTTTATGATAAACATTTGTCACAATTTTCTCAATCAATTAAGTTTACATAAATATTCCGTTAAAAGCTGAATATAGAGTGGATCAAATAAAAATAAATATCAATAATGGTTGAATGTATTTGAATTTCGTAAACATTGCTCCAAAATAATGAAATTTATTTATATTAAAAGTTCAAAAGAATTGGGAAATTAAGTTCAACTCTATAACTCTATTACATTTGATAAAATTAATGACTTAACTGTATATCAAACAAAATATGGAAAATTGTGTTTTAATTGGTTAATGATAAGTCTTGAAAGTATATTCGATGTACTTGATGAACTGTGAAGCAAGAAGTAGAAACGCAAGACGAATTAAAAATAGTCTTAATACACATATACTTATAATAGTCAGAAATATATATCGATGAATATTCTTCGTATCATACAAAGTACACTCTAGACTCAGCACACAACTGAAACTCGAAGAAAATAAATATAACACATAAATTCAATATATTTCTTTATAGTCAATCTAGTCGAAAGGCGCCACGTGTGTCTGCTTTATTTCCTTATGTGCAACCTGAAAACACTTTCCATCAAAATTTTCTCCTAAACAAACGATTAAATAGGAAAAGAAAAATCCAAAAAATCAACTTCTCATGCTCATCAATCCTTGATAATTTTTAGAAATCGTGAAATTTTCGGGGAAAAACAATTTCTGAACTCCCCGCAGTCCACTACTTGGCATTGCCACGCGTTTAATCACACATGTGTGTTGCGTACACGTGAGTTATGACGCTTAACTCGGTGTACACACACTTGGATATGTTTGACAATCATAGTACATAGTTATAGTAATACGTCGGTCTACTAGTAGAGTCGCAAGAGAGCTATTCATAATGTAATAGTGAGAGCCTATGGTGGGGAAAGGGAGAGTCTGAGAGTGCTGAAAGTGGAGGGAGATTCAAAGTGAGGTGGCGGGTGGTAGAAACAGAAGAGAAGGAGGACTGTAGGTACGGGGGAGAGCTGAGGGTTGAGAGGGGCCAATAATACAATAATATGTAATACTCGACAATGATAATAAAGACAACTAATATGGTAGTAGTACATCATGAATATCTATTGAATTATTTATCTATTATCGGAATTCCTCGCTTTATTTTAACTAAATAATTTAAATGAAAACATTATTTGTTTATGTTTACTACCGTCTATTGATAAAGTTTCATTTTTTAATCTTAAAAAATTCTAACTAGTTTCATTAAGAAGTCGTGTTTATTTGCAAATACATAATGACCAATCATTAAAGTAGAATATTTAAAGCAATCTCATAAGATTGAGATTCACTTGTTCAAACATGGAAATACGTTTGACTATGCTATCAGAGTATTTATTGGAAGTGTAATATAACAAATGTATTTTCTTCACATTAAAATAGTTCTGAGAATAAGGAGCAATGGAAGAGAGGAGGTGGGGAATAGAACACGCGTTTTCTCATACCCTAAGCAACCCTCTCGACACTCGAGAGGAAGAGTAAAGCCAACAGAGTACGAAAAAGAGAAAGAACAGTGTACCAACACTGAAGCAAAATCTTCAGACACCTGGATATGAGGTATCTTGCATCTTTGTTTAGTTTCATTGTGTCTCTCGGTGTCTTTTCTTCCTTCTTGCCACTTCCACAGTAACCTACACTGCTTTGGGGCCCGTTGAGCTGCTAGCTCGACATAGACTTGCCTCGTCACTAGAACAGAGCATCGTAACTCGGCCACTATTCCGGCCTGTAGTGCATAGAGCTCTTTCTCACCAACATCAAACTCCTGATAGGCTGTTTGCTGCTTGCTACTGCCACCTCCACATAGCTCTTGCATTTGTCTTACTCTTTGATAGTTTCTCTGTCACTCGCGTAGCTCACCTACGCCAGAACCTACGAGACAACAGACTAAGAGGGAGAGTAAGAGTAAGAAAGGAGAGGCGAAAGAGGGTCTCTTTGCTTTGCGCAAAAGTTATGCTGGAGCGAGAAGGCAGTGAGACACACCGCGGAGACCGGAAGAGAACCCTCTCTCCGTATTGAAGAGACTCCTAAAAGACCGCGAAAATATTTTCCGTTTACGTGCGTGACATTTGTTATATTTTATTTAGAAGTATTTTATTGAAAGGTGTGTCATCATTTTTACTTTGTCCTATTCTGACCATCACTATCGTGTGTTTATTTCAGTTGATTTACTTTTCAAGCAGTAATTATTCATTAAGTGGAGTTTAAAAAGTGAGTGAGTGTCATTGAGGATTTTTTTAAAGTCCCGGGAAACAGTGTCGCGCGTGCGTGGCGGCGATAACGCATGCGCAATTGATAGAAAGCAAAGTGAAGGAAGAGCGCGAACACGAAAGGGAAAGTGACAATTGTTGAAGTGAAAGGAAAGAGAAAAGAAAGAGAGGTTAAATTTTTGGTAAATAGCAGACAGTGTCAATAAGGTTGTTAAGGCGGTAAGCACTATATTGGTGAAAGCGAACAGAAAATAAATGAGAAAGGAAGAGAGGAAGCAGTTAAGGTGGAAATAAGTGCACAAATTTGTTGGTTCTCGTTAATGTATTGGCTTTATACATTGTATAAACGAACCTGTGGCAGTAGTAAAGCGACGGGTTGTGTAAGAGCTGAAAGTAAAAGTTGAAACCGCCGACTTCGGCGACCGCGTGAGCGCGTTAAAATCCGACCCAAGACTGGCCGAATATCCCTTCCATTTAGTCACTTTCGCTTGCCCGAACTTTCGTCGTTTCTCTCCCTTTGGATAAACGCGGAGAGTCTCCCTGAAAGTTCACATCGGGATCAAGAGGTTGCGTGTGAAGAAATTAACAAGTTTGAAAGTCCGCTCGCGATCGCCTGTCCTTGAAAATAGGAAGAGGGGGCGAAGAAAGCGACCAAGTAGTAACACACAGACGGAGAACGAAGAGCAAAGGTTGAAGGAGAAGAAGAAAAACGAGTAGGAGGTGGAATGCTTGTAGATGCTCTGCATTGCGTAACCGGAATGTAACGCCGTGCCAACGCAACGAGAAAGAGAGAAGACACCCGCGACGAGTAGTCGAGGACGACGACAAGCGTGGACGGGGGAAATAGAGAGACAGATAAGCTTCGCACTCACTCGCTTTTCATTTATCGTCGTCGAGAGATATCTTTAGCTACGCTCCGAGAAAAATATTCGCTCTCAATGACTTCTTCTGCTGAACAATGTGGAAAAGTGAAAGAAAACTTGTGTAAAAAATTACATTTTGGCTAAATTTAGTATCATCTTCTATTTAGTGTACACAAAAGTGTCGAAAAAACATGGCTTTGTTGATTTTTATTTCGCTAACTGGTGCGGTGAGACAGTGTCATCACGTGTACTCGCACGTCTTAGTGCGGTAGGAAGAACCGGAAGTGGAGAAAAGTGGGAGCAGTAGTAGGCGTGAAGACACCACGAGGAAAGAAAAGATCCGAAGACGAAGAAGAGGAAGAAGACGAGCAAAAGACTTTTGTCTCTCTCTTCTCGCTCTTACGCCCGCGAGGAAGATCCGGAAGTCGGTGTCGTGCGTACAGCCGGAAGAGTGGGAAGAGAGGAGAGCGAAGCGCCGCTCCTCCGCACCTAGGCCGAGAGTGATAGCGCGCTTCTCTCTCTCCCGTGTTCGCCAGTCGGTCTCTCACCGTCCGCCGTCGTCGTCGTCATCGTCATTGTCGTCGTTGTCGCACTCTATAGCGACTTTTACCTCGGCTACCAACAAGCGTTTCGTAAAAGGATTACAAAATCGTAGAGGGACACAGAGAGACGGGGAAAGGAAAAAGAACGAGTGAAGCCAGTGAGGGAAAGTCAAGTTGCGGCATACTGCCGGTGTGATTAAGGAACGTTAGTGAAATTTTATGGACGAGTGAAAGAGAAGAAGACGAAGATAAAACAAGTATTGTTTATTCATTATTATTTCATCGTCATCTTGTACATTCTTCTTTAATTGTTTTCATATCTTAATGTTCTATTCATTTCTGTAAATCAACCGTCATCAAATGAGTACGCGTGCATACTTGTCGTCAGAGAATTAAAAGTCCGCTTAAAAAGGTTAACGGAATAAAAAAAAGCCTCGCGAAAGGATAAGAGAAAGGAATAAGAGCCTTCGAAGTCCTTGAGAGTACCCAACGGGTAAAAGTGCTGGAGCCAGCTGGCTGACCCTGGAAAGCTTGGACCAGAGAGGGTCTCAGTGGCGAGAAGACAAGAGAAAAAAAACAAGAACGCATTGCGCTCTCACCCAGTCATCGACGTTGTTTTTTCATCTGATTAAAGAAAATTATAAAGACGTACAAAAACCATTACTTTTTGAGATGATTTTATAAGTTTTTCTCAATTTCCAGTTAATAAGTTCAGAGTGTCTGTAGATACTCAAGTGTCAGTGAAAGTGTGCAGCAAAAAAAGGGTGTCGTATAGAAAAAATCATAATATTTAGTGGTTATTTATTGTGTGATCTCGAAAGTAGTGATATACAACTTCTTCGGGGTTAATGAGAATTTATTTCAATGTACGTCACGTGTTGGCATTCACACACGATCTCGGAGTACAAAACCTCGTGGTCGTCTTTAGTGACTTTGAATTGTTTTCGTGGTCCCTTGAAGATGCTTCGAGGTTCTTCAAGAGAATCCTAAGGATTTAATCTACACTACTGGCGTTTTAATTACATACATATAGGATACACTCTTGTAATTATTGTATAGGACTGAGGATTTAATCAAGGTGGGTGTTACTCAGCTTACTTTATGCTTGATATATTTATACACATACATATATAATGAAAACCTATGCATATATACAATACTATAATACTTGAGTTTAGCTTGTTTCTCATTGAATTACAAGAATTTACGAGACTTCGAGCAGGTGCTTTCGTGATTCACATCCAACAATAACAAAAATATTACATAGTAAACAGTTCCAAACCTTAATTATTTATAAAAAGTCGATGACCTGGTAGATGAGATTTACCCTAAGGATTTTTATCTTTATTATTTTTTTCTACATACAGGCGTCAGTATACAAACTCTTTTGCCACCTCTATATACGTAAGATGAACGAATAAATAGTGATTTTAATCATCAGCAACTTGTAAGAGAGAAAACATTAATTTCAATTCCACCAAATCCAGCTTATCAAATATTTACAAGTAAAATTTCTAATTCATTTTTTTTCATTCAACATTAATTGAATATTTAATTCGAAAAATACAGTTATTTATTGTTAAAATAGTTTGTTTTTTTTTCCATTGTGAATAAAAGTTTTATCAAAAATAACTTTGAAGAAAGATTTATAAAAATAAATTGTGCACGTTTAAAAAATGCTTATCTATTGTATCATTAATTAAATGAAAATTGTAAAGTGCAGATATATTTATTAGCGCCTGTGCTACATCACGTACATTATATGACTATTATAAGATGTCTAAATTTAAACCTGCATGATATTACTCAATTGATATCAGCAATTATAGAAATAAGTTTAAAGTGAAAGTTTGATGTATGATAATGATAGTAACTCTTTATTACCAATTCTAAAACGTAGGCATGTTAATGAGAATGACACATATACTTATTATCATCGATGAAAAAATATTTCTTTAGATTAAATATTTGTTTTATGAATGAAATAAATAGACTTAATTGACGAACAAGTCGCGTGGCCGATTGGAGAGGAAAAGTGATCTGTCGTCAAGGTTGAGTTTGTAAGAGCGGGAAGTCAATAAGAGAACATTCGTCAACATTTATCATGCTTTTATTTTAGAAAATGTTCATCAATCGTCATGATTTATTATCAACTAGTATTATTTTGCATTCAATTTTAATGTACAATATATATAAGATATAATATTAATACTCTTCAAAACATTTGTTTTCATTGGAACTGAAGCAAGACAGAGAGACTTCCACGAGTGTCCTTGAAATTTTCTCTATTCTTATGAGATTTGGGCTATGCAAATACTGATATCATATCATTATAAGGGACTGTTACCACATAAAGTCTGTAATTCAGTAGTAACACGTGTCATAACTTGCGTGTGTAAGCGGATCAAAGTCAATACATGTTGTAAGTGACAATTAAACTCCACGTGAAAATATTTTTGGAATGTTGAAGAATAAACTATAAATATTCTTATAAAAATGAACAAATGGTGAACAATTAACAAAAAAAATAAACGACCAATTTTACTAGCAACACATTTCTTTATTTTCATATTTTCCAAATATTCTTTTAAAATAAAATATTTTAATATCAATAATAAACCTTCTTCTTATCTTTTTCTACAATTGCTGAAAAATTAAAAATAATAAAGAATGTAATTGATATTCTCGTTAATATTGATGAATAGAGGCGAGAAGAGAAGTAATTGGCAATCGTCTTGTTATTTATTGAAGCAATTGGCATGTCGCATGCACTTGGAAGAGAGGGTGAAGGTGAGAGCGAGAGAATGAGCTTGCGGGTCTTCTTATGTGGTCACGATTGCAATCCGCGAGAAGGTGATTCTCTAATTAACCAATCGATAGAGTGTAGAAACCGATTCACGGGTCGTAGGGTGTCTTGATCCACGATTAATTAACACGTGGAGCCACTTAATTAGCAACAGTCATTTGCTAGTTAAGTTTAACTATTTAGAACATCTCGACTTTTCCATATAAAATTATCAATTAATTTATTTATCGTTGTTTATTTCTCTCGTTAAATGAAGAAAGTATTTTTATATAGAATTAAATCGGTTTATTCAATTAAACACAACTAGCTGAATTCACTGCGATTGAATTGGTAATAAAAATAATTATTATTATGGCGAAAAAAAAAAGATTTTTAATGAATTGTAATTTTTTCTTTTCCAATAATGTCTGTGACGCATAAATGCCACCAAGAAAAATTTGCGTGCATATTCTCACGCTCGTGTATATGCAAATACCGCAAACATGTTTGTCTGCTAGTAACTGACACAAATGTCACAGTAAATAAATTATGAAATGTCGTAATGAAAGCTAGGAAAGTAATAAAAATTTAAAATATATATAATAACATCATTAATATTAAAAAAAAAGTAGAAACAAAAATGATAAAAGTTATCGATGAATCTCTAACACTAGTGTTGGGATTAACTTCCTTTCGCTTCATCTAGATTACTTCTTGCATTCCCACATTGTTGATAATAACTGTGAAGAAGCGAGAGTAGAGAAAGGAAAACGAACTGAAGTACTGTAGAATATTGTAGAGATAGAATTTAAAAAAAAGGGAAAATACATGAAGAGTAAAACAAGTCTGCAAGACGATGTGGGAAAAGAGGAAGCTAATCAGAAGCGGAGGTACGCTCTGGCGAATCCCAGGCTTTGAGAAGGGAATCAGCGGCACTTCGGGCTCTTTAATTGCAACTTTTATTCTCAGTGTTGTTGCATTGCATTTCCTCTATCTCTGATGCATTATTCCCTTCACTTAGCCCTTTCCTGCTTCATCCTTAGGTCATTGATCATCTCAGAAGTGAAACGATTCTCACTGTCACCAAGAACGATTTCATATGTTCCATGACACATTTTGACGATTTTTCCAACAATGTATTATTAAAAAATTATTTAAAAATGTATAACACCATATTCAATGAAAGCCACTAACAGAACACTTAATTTCTCATTTAATTGAATTAATTATCATATTGTTTTTTTATTGAAAATGTATTTTCGGAGTATCATAAAAATGATTTTTATTAAAAAATGAGATAAGCAAATAGTATTGTAACAAATCAAGATATTGACTTAACGAGTTTTTGTTAATTAATTATTGAAAATCTAGTTTACTCATTGGCCTTTTTAACAAATGTTCTTATCACGTGAAACTTAATTTTGAGTATTAGTATTCTACTTTTTAATCACTCGTCCCAGAAAATAATGAGGGTTTCACTGTTAATGATAATCATTAAGAAGCCCTAAATTATATATCAGTAGTTGATTTTATTCATATTTCGTATGTTAGACATAAATAATGTTAAAACTCTCTAGTTTCTATGTAGGTCATGGTGTCCCCACAGAGAATTACTAAATGCTTGATCCCCAATTAGCACAACATTGCACGTTGTCAGTAAATATTTCAGCCACGCGAACTGCGCGCGTCTGGCTCGAGTCCGAGGGAAACGGGCACTTTACTAGCAGGTATAAGCAACTTCCCGCAGGCTGCCCCAGGTATATTGATTACCTGTTGCATTTAGATCTGCATTTAAGGCTTTGGTAAAAACATTGAGTGAAATCTCGTCGTAATTTTCGAGCTTAGGTCATGCAATTTTCACATTCCATACTTTTGAACCCTTTTTATCTCAAATGTGAGTGGGTTTGAATGAGAAATATGAGACATAGCTATTGTATAACCATTAAGCCAACAATCCTTTTTATCTCTTTACCTGAATTCTGTCCTCGAGATATCGCTACTTTCATCAGGCGAGTTTTCAAATCAGAGCTCAAACTCAAACACATTCCATTGGAATTACTTGACAAATCACAGATTTAAAATTCTTGACCAAACTGTTTATTTGGACAAGTTATGAATTACGTTTGTCTAGACTAGGACAAGTGGTCAAATGTTGAGATACAGATGATAACAAAAAGTTTTTTGGAGAAAATATTTACAGAATAAATGTTTGATAAAATGAATATTTAAAAAATATCTACGATGATTTAGTTTGAATAGAGAATGATGTACACAAGCATTCATAAATTAATTTAAAGTGAATGAGATTTATTGCTATTTGATAAATTCTTTATTATATAATAATAAGAAATAAATAATTTATTAAAGTTGAATAAGGACTTTTTAATACTTGATAGGTTAGTTGAATAGAGATACACATTTATTTGTGTGTAGTTGAAGTCAATAGATATTTTACAATAAACTTACTATTATTAAATAAATTATTCTATCAGAATGTATTTTAAAATACTGATAGTTGTTAAAATAGTTATTAAAGAGGTAATAAAGATCATAATTTAATTTTGGTTGCAAAAATTATTATAAAACCATAAATAAGAGAAAGTTGCCTAATTTTAACCGACGCTTAAATGGTACCTTTGTTAATTTCTTCTAAATTTCAACAGAAAATATTCAAATTAGTTCAGCATACTATTTTTGCTTTTTTTAGATATAATCATTGGCAAAGAATGAAGAGAGTCACGATTTAGGCACACGCAAGAATTGAGTAATTCTTTGCTCATGGAAAAATTTTTTTTTAATCAAAATTTTTAAATAATTTATTGTTAATACTTTCTAAATCAATTAATCATTTAATTTTTTCTTAAGATTCTCATTCAACTTGTTCGAATACAATTAACTTATTTACCTTCTATGTTTTTTGAGTAAAATTTTCAGCTCCAAAACGATAATTCTCTTCGATAGAACAAGTTTCATCTAATAATTCTACACTTTAATCTTTCTTAAGAGTTTGTTCACCTGAACATATAAATAAACCATGAACATTAAAAACTTGAAAATTAAAAAGCAAAGTTAAGGGGAATAGTGATGGTATTTTGCCTGGTTCCGCCACGTTCTGGCTCGTGGCGATTGTAAAACTCGATTGGGGCTCTTGGTTCCACTAGAGTAGCACGTCGTCAGTGACGAGGACGAAGACATTGGGAAATGAAAGAGAGACGAAGAAAGAGTACATTGAAACCCTGTCTACCTTCCCTTTCACTTTCATCTATCGCGTTATGTTCACCGAGGCCTCGTGC